ATATACATACAATTTATACAGATATTCAGGTTAGGGACCAAATCCCTACCATAGCAATGCAGTGCAAGTCTCAAACAGTCTATACAAAACAGAAAAAGAAAGGGGAAATCTAAAATACCCCAAGACAGCCTTGGCTTGAGACGACTTGGAACCTCGCAGTGAGGCACAATGGTTGGCTTTGACAAAACGGGAGTTAACCCGACGCTCCTAACTCCGGTCCGGTGCCTGAACACCTACATATAAATATAAACAGTAAGCTAAAGCCCAGTGAATAACAGTTGTGTAAAGAGGTTAAGAATGAATGTCCTTTCAGTCATTTAGAAACCATAGCAGTTATAAGTGGTATATCCAATAGCAAAACAGTACAGTAGGTTTTAACAGACCGAACAGTCAGTTGATGGCCATCATAACAGTAAACAGTAGTGGTTCCAACATGGGAACCGACAGAGATCTCTGTGACAGTAGCAGTACAGTAACAGTACAGTAACAGTAAGTTGCTATGGATACCACGAGTATAGTTCATCAATAGGATATCATTCATTCAGTAAGAAATATCATTTCAGAAAGCAGTACAGTAAATCATTCAGAAAATATTCATGATTGAACATATCTTTACAACATTGTTACTCACAAAGCACTAGGCTACAAATAGGCTAGAGTGTCCTCGGATACCAACCCTACACAGTACATGCAGAAGGACACATGGCACCTTCAGCCTGGTGGCTTAAGACAGAATATTCTGTGTGATCCTTAGGGACACCTGTCTTCTCTCTATTTGGCCATTTGGTATCCTTTTGGTACTAAGGAAAAGCCTATAAATAGGACCCATTTCCCAAGGTCCAAGAGAGGAATTTTTGGGATTTGGAGAAAATGTTGCCCATTTGTGCACTGCCATACATTTCTTCTTAAGCTGCCTACTTCACCCTTACCCAGTTGCTCACTCTTCAACCTCCCAGACAGTTGTTGCTGCTCATTCTCCAGTCATTCCACCATTGTTGGACCATTAGCATAGTTTTGCCTCTATAATCACTTTTCTAACCTTGAACCCCCCTACATTTCTAGCGACTCTGTTGGGGAGGCTGCTTTGTTGATGGTTCATACCCGCAGTGGCTTACACACTTCATTGGAAAAAATGGCAGATGATGAAGTTCAATAACCCCCACGGCAGCAAGGCTCTTCCAATGGCAGAGCAACACATGCTGAGGACCATGATCACAGTGTTGTGGTTGAGGTAATCTAGTCACCCTGGGATATGCATAGGGAGATCCTGGCAGCTCTGCAAACTCTTACCAAGTTTATTATGGCCATGGCATCCAGGCCAACTCTAGCGCAGGCTCCTCCGCCTATAGCAGTCCCAATCCCAGTGCCTAACATGTTCCCTGACGTTCGGGCTCCGATCCAGGTGCTTCCGGTGGTACCTCAGGCGAACGGTACAGCCGTTGGTTCAGCTACCCAGGAGCAAACTGGTACATTTCAACCTACTCACATCATTACTCTAGCTGACGTACAAGCTATGCTCGAGCAAGAGCATAGCAAGAAGCAATTACCATCTCTCCCTGACCCGGATGTGAAGCTCTTCCATATTCTCAAGAGATATTGACCACGCCATACCCAACTGGGTATACAGTGTCCAAATTATCAAGTTTGATGGGAAGCAAGGCAATGCCAGAGAACATGTGGTGAAGTTCATTAAAACTCTTGGTGTCCATGGTAGTGACCACTCTCTGCGCCTTCCGAAGTTTTCCAAATCACTTACTGAAAGGGCTTATAGCTAGTATGTGAACTTGGCCCCCAACTCGATCAAGAGTTGGGAGAAGATAGTGAACAAGTTCCACACAAAGTTCTTCCAAATCCAAGAGAAAGTTTACATCCCTCACACTTGAGTGAGATGTCCAAAAAAAAGGTGAAAATATACTGGACTATGTCAATCGGTTCCAAGATAAGGCTATTGACTGTCATGAACTAGTGGATGAGGCCTATCTAGTCAGCATATGTGTTGAGGGTGCCATACGTGACTATAAAATCTTCTCGGTGAACCATAATATGCCTACCTTTTCAACCTTGATTGAGGCAGCTAGAAACCTCAATACCACCGGTCCTTTACATAGATCTCATGATAATCACCGCTACTTCCGTAGTAGTAGAGTTGCTGCAGTAACCTCCGTAGGAGGGAACCGCTCGCAAAGGAAGGCATCGTCCTCTTGGAAGAAGAAGAGTTATGAGGACAAAAATCCATGTCCTTGTAGCCTTAAGAATGTTAAAGCCTTGGTTAAAGAATGGGTAGCCGATGGTGAACTTACTTTACCTCCGGTTGATGTTCCTCCAACCAAGAAAGACAAGGCAAGCCCAGATTATTGTATCTATCACAGAGCCACTAAACACCCTACTAGGGACTGTTAGACTTTGAAAAGTATCTTTAAGAAAAAAGTTACTACAAATGAGCTAAAGTTCAAAGATGCTGGTAATCGTGATGTAAGGAAAGACCCTTATCCTAACCATAATGAGAAGGGGAAGAATGTACATATGATTGGGTATCTTGAGCATGTGCGCGATCAAGTGCACATGGCGTCCTACTATGACGAGTTAGAAGAAACTACAACTAGCCAGCTCCCTCAGACGGTACCTGTAGAGGCAAAGTCCATGGAGGATACTCATGCTCAAGCCTTGCAAAACTCTGTTAAGTTTCACACCTTCTTTGACCAACTAGGGCTGAGCCAAGCCGCCAGGTTATAAACAACAAGGGCCCTCATCAACATCTCTGAAGTGCACCATACTGAAGTTGTTGAGGCTAAGGAGTATGTGCCTCGGCGCATCCAAGAAGATTATAGAGCCATTACTTTTTTAAAAAGAGACAGAGCATACCCATTTCCTCATAACCGTCCTCTTTTTTGTCATAGCTCACATCAATGATGTAGAGTTCAAGTGTGCTTTCTTTGATGGTGGGGCGTCCATAAACATCATCACTACTGACACCTTTGCAAAGGCTGGTATTCCAGAGTCCAGGATGGTCCGCCAACCCATTATTGTGATGTGTTTTGGTGGTGAGAAAAAAGTTACTAAGGGCCATGTTGTAGTGGGCTTAGTAGTTGGCGAGATCCGCTCCGCAACTAAGTTTCATGTGATTGAAGCGGACACAAATTACCGCATGATACTTGGCAGTGCTTGGATGTACCGATATAGGGTTATCCAATTGGGTTATCACCAATGCATAAATGCAAAGTTGGGCAAGCGCACAGTGACCATAAATGCGTTTCACAAGCCATTTGGAGTGGAGGAGGCACACTATTCTGATGTAGTTTTCTTTACTGAAGTGTCAACGGATGAAACTCCAAAGACTGGTAAAGTTGCAGGAGTAAAGTTACCGAAGTGGGAAAACATTCGAGATGCAGAGGCTGCTCTAGAAAGTAGTGGGCACAAGACGAGCAGCAAGTCCACAAGTCCTCCGCCCAAGATTGTTAAGGTGCGCTAGGGCGGCAAGACAATTTATTACCTATAACGGTCTTGGGGTCCAGACTTCATACCTTGGGAGGATGGCCCCAAGGCAAATAAATGTGATGGTTAAAAATCCCAAGAAGGGTTGGTGGTGACCCTTGAGTCCGCTCCTGAGTGCATACAAAACAGACCCAAACCACAGCAGAAAGTACTTGCTGAGGTAAACCTCAGTGACTTACTAGGGCAGAGCAAGCCCATGTTTATCAACAATACAGTGGCTCCAGCAGCTAAGGCAGAATTAATAACACTACTGAAATGGTACAGTGACGTCTTTGCTTGGACATACGACGAGATGCCTGGTCTTGACCCATCCTTTGTCACCTATCACCTTGACACTTTTCCCAACCCTAAGCCCATAAAGCAGCATGCTCGAAAGTATCGTCCTGACCTTGAGGCGAAGATTAAGGAAGAGGTGGAAACGTTGCAGAAGGCCAAGTTCATTGAGCCTATATAGTACTCAACTTGGCTAGCAAATATTGTGCCTATAAAGAAGAAGAATGGCCAAATCAGGGTCTGTGTAGACTTTCGCGACCTGAACAAGGCCTGCCCAAAAAATGAGTTTTCATTGGCCCCATGTTGACACACTTGCCAATTCTACCATAGGCCATCAGATGTTCTCATTCATGAACAGGTTCGGTGGTTGTAACTAGATCAAAATGGCACTAGAAAATGCAGAAAAGACAGCTTTCAGAACATCCTTGGGAAATTTTTTCTATATAGTGATGCCCTTCGGATTGAAAAATGCGGGGGCAACCTATCAATGGGCTATGACGGCAGTGTTCCGTGACATGTTACATCATGAAGTGGAAGTGTATGTGGATAATCTGGTAGTAAAATCTACTGAGGCAAACCGCCACCTCTGTGACTTGGAAAAAGTTTTTCAATGTTGTCGAAAGTTCCGCTTAAAGATGAACCCTCTCAAGTGTGCTTTCGAAGTTACCGCAAGCAAGTTCCTTGGCTTTCTGGTACACCAATGGAGGATTGAAGTAGATGGGGATAAGATCAAGTCAATCATAGAGATGCCACCGCCATACTCTCAAAAAGCCTTGAAGAAATTCCTAGGCAAAGTGTCATACCTTAGGAGGTTCATCCCAGCCCTTTCTGAGATAACCTTTTTCCTTTGGGACACTGCTAAAAGGAAATCACAAGTTTGAATGGTTGCAAGAACACCAACAAGCATTTGATATGGTGAAGCAAGCAATTACCTCTCCCCTTACAATGATTGCCCCACAACCTAAAAGCCTCTGCTACTACACTTTACCTCTACACCTCAATCTATTAGAGCTCTACTTGTCCAAGACATAGACGGCATTGAGAAGCCAATCTATTATATTAGCCGTAAATTCAATGGTGCCGAATCATAGTATACCCCAATTGAGAGACATTGTTTAGCCTTAATCTTCACTGCGCAGAAGTTGCGCCATTATTTTTTGGCACACCCGATCCAAGTTGTGACCAGGAGTGATTAAGTCTGCTACTTACTAAGCAAGCCCGCTCTGACCGGAAGAATGGCGAGATGGCTTTTAGCTCTTGCAGAATATGACATAACATGTGTTACTCCCAAGGCTATCAAGAGCCAAGCACTTGTAGACTTGCTAGCGCAATTCCCATCTGGTGAACACGAACCTGAAGAGGTACCCCTACCTGGTGAGGTCCATGTCTCAGCAGCAACGGTTAAGACTTATTGGGATTTAAAATTTGATGGAGCCTCTAGAGCTGGGAAAGGTGGAGTTGGCATAACATTCATTAGTCAAGAGGGAGAGAAGTTTTATTTGTCATACTTTGAATGTTCAAACAACGAGGTTGAATATGAGGCATTGATACTGGGTCTAATTACTGCTCAAAAGAAAAGCCTCCGCAAGTTGAAAATTTGTGGTGACTCCAAGCTAGTTGTTAAGCAAACAATGGGTGATTTCGCCTTGAATGAGCATCTGCTGGCCCCATACCGCACCACAGTTCAAAAGTTGCTCACTTAATTTGATGATGTCCAAATCCTGTACACCCCTCGAACACACAACCGTTTTTCCGATGCCTTGGCTACACTAGGGGCAAATGTGGATATACTAGATGACAGTATAACCATCGTCATTGAGAAAATAACAACACCAGCAGTGTTAGCCGAAGAACATACAAAGCAAGATGCTGAGGGATAGAGAGCAGATATAATCCAACAACTGAAAGCAGGCTAGGAAACAATCAGACCAGCAGAACTTACATCATTCCTACTCCTCAAAGGAGAGTTGTATTTTCTTAGTCCCAATAACCTGCTAGCAAGGTGCGTCAATAGACAAGAAGCAACTTACAGACTTAAGCAGATCCATACTAAGTCTTGCGGAGATGGAGATATCAGTCTATATCGACGAATGCAGAGGCAAGGGTACTACTGGCTAAAAATGGAAAAAGAAAGTACTGAGTTGCAGAGGCAATGTGCGAAATGTCAGTCCCATCGTAAAGAAGAGGAAGCAATAAGGAATGGAGGCAATCGTATATTGATTATCTTGGAAACGGCACACTGCCTGAGAACAAAGCCGATACAATTAGAGTTAAGAGGTGGGCCCTCCGTTTCTTCCTTGACCAAGGCAAGTTATACCGAAGAAGCTTTGAAAGAACACCTTTGGCGTGTTTATCAAAGGATGAGGCAAATGAAATGCTGAGGGAAGCCCACAAGATAGAGTATCAAGGAAGGCAGCGACTATATGGACACCTTATCCACCTCGGCTACTACTGGCCGACAATGGAGGAGGATACAAAAAACTTTGTAAATAGGTGCCAGTATTGCCAAAAGTTTAGAAACTTGATACACCCACCCGCGATTGAACTGCACAACATCAAGACTCCTTACCCGTTTCATACTTAGTCATTTGACCTAGTAGGTCCTATAGCATAGCAATCCAAAGGCCACAGATGGATACTTGCAACAACTAAAGTTAGTACTAAGTGGGTAGAGGCTATACCGATAAGGAAGGCATATGGGGCAAGAGTGGCCAACTTCATCAAGGAAAGCACAATCTGTAGGTTTGGCATACCCAAGGTGATGTTGTCTGATAGTGGGACCTCCTTTGTGAACCGCCATGTGGGAAGATTATTGGACACCTACCAGATCAAGCACCACAAGTCCACTCCATATTATCCTCAAGGGAACGGACAAACTGAGGCAACCAACAAAACCCTCATCCGAATACTGAGTAAAATGATGGACAAAGAAAGGGGCACATGGTCCAAACAACTTCCCATAGCACTCTGGGCATATAGAACATCAAAAAGGAAGCCAACTCAGGCAACCTATTTTCTCTAGTATATGGGACCGAAGCTGTGTTACCAGTTGAGTTGGCAGTACCCTCAGCAAGAATGGCTATGTCAGCACACTTAGCTCCAAACAGTAGGAAGAACGGCATAAAGGCAGTCGAAAAAAGAAAAGATCGAGCCTCGCAGGCAATAAAGAAGTATCATTAGTCTATAGCCCGCGCCTACAATCAATCTGTTCAACATAAGAAGTTCAATGAGGGGGACTTGGTATGGAAAATAGTGGATGTAATCATGCAAGGGCAACCAATCCCCAAGTTCTCACCAAGATGAGAAGGCCCCTGCAAAGTTGTTGAGGCAAGTAGCAGCGAGTGTTACAAGTTGACAAAAGTAGATAATGGGTTCAGAACTGGCCTTATCAACACTACGTATATAAATGAGTATTTTCCTTAATTTCTTTTGTTCAGAAAAAGAGTTGTAAAGTTTTTTTGTTAATACTTCCAAAGCAAAGTGTAAGAAAGTGTCATACACTTAGTAAACCTATTACTCTTGTAAACACTTAGTGTGAAGAAATTTTTTTTCAAACTTAGTGAAATTTTATCCTTACAAAAACTTAGTCATGGAAATGTTTTGTTCATGGTAAGATTTTTGCTTGTCTTTAGAAGCCATTAAAAAAAAAAAAAACAGTGAAAGGAAAGCAATGAAATAAGACTCAATATCTTTGTTTCTCATAAACATCGAAGTTTTCCACAACATCATTACAATGTTCAAAGGAAAAATAAGAAAGAAAAAGATAACAAAAGTACAAAGAAAAAGAGCCACAACAAAGTCACAATACATCAAATCAACCCTTTCATAAGGGAGTCCATTAGGGTCACATCCCGAGGCAACTAAGCAACGAGCGCGGAGTCTTTTTCCTTGAACCGAGCTAGGTTCCGTCGGTGCTTCTCCAAGGCACCCTCACACTCTTTGATAGTCTCCTCCAAAGATGCAATCATCGCCACATTATCTGCATGCTTAAGGAAGCCATCGACTGCCTGAAGCCTAGCTCTCATCCATGATAGGTCCGAACCATTCCTCTCAAAGCTACTCAGATTAGCCTCAACACTCTCCACAAACTTGTCGGGGGTTGCCAGAATCTTCTTTGTAGCAAGGTCGCAAATGAAACTGGCAAGTGACTCTAACAACGCTGTCTGCATTATTAAGCTCGAAATGTTAAAAGTAGTAAAGGTGCCAGGGTGCAGCGCCTGGATGCGGACAAGAGTGGGAGCAGATTCGGAGGAGACCCAATAACTTAGAAAAAAAACTTTTCCTGAGGACTGAGGAGACTCTCTTACACTACCGCTAGCTTCAATTACTGGAAGGAGACTAGCAGAGCGACCAAAGGTCTGAGGGCGACGTACCTCCCCTAAAGATGAATGCCCAGTGACATTGGAATGGGTAGATACTAGGTGGCGACCGGGCGAACTAACCTCGCAAGAAAGATCAAAGCTGCATTTACCATCATGTCGCTCCGAAAAGAGGTTGTCTATATGGTAGTCCTCAACATTTAGATCTGGCACAATAGTGGTGCCCATGCCCACATAAAAGTCTCATGATCCCCTAAGATTACCTGGCACTTCAGGAAAGTGAGTGGGGTACAGGTCAGTAAGTTGCTCAGAAGTTGCTGAGGCAACTAAGTCAGAAGCATTAGCAACAACAGTAGTACCATGAGTGGCTAGGTTGATAATTGCTTCTGCAAGTTGAACCAGCAGAAACTCAGTGGACTGGATAGAACCCCTAGATACAACTTCTAAAAGGGGTGGTGCAACTTCCAGTGGCTCTCTTACGCCACACTCTTCTCTTGGAGTCTCAGGAACAAAATCCTCCCCACCAATGGAGGAACGGTCAAAATGAACAAAATCAACAAGGTTTAAGCGCTCAGTGCCCTCAATAGCTGTACCATCCTCCGCAACTTCTACAGTAAGGAAAACTCATTCGCTTTCAACAAAGGGGGCATCATGACCTCCTTGTATATCTGCAACCTTAGCGACTGACTCAATCTCAGCAACTGGCTCAACCTCAGCAACTAGCTCAGCCTCAGCAGTTAGGTCGGCCTCAGCACTTGGTTCTTCTTCAACATTTGGAAGTATCATTTTGCGATTTTTGAGTCTAGTGACCCTTGAAGCAATGGGAAGGTCGTCGTCGTCGTCTAAATCTAAAGAAATTTCGATGGTAGTTGAAGGCCCCCCAGGGCCCGATGGTGGTACAGCCGAAACAGTACCGCGCTTTGAAACTAGTAGGCCCTAAAAAACGGAAAAGATCATATGACTTTTAAGATAAATATAAAAGCCTAGGGAAGTATGGAAAAATACAGAAGATTTTCTAAGTATGGGGCCCTCCTCCACTCAGTACTAGGTGGAACATCCCTGTCGGGTCAAAGCCTGGTAGTAGCCATGAAGAAGAATAAAGAAAGAGAAGAAAACTTTAGATGGTAGGGGCCAGAGAGAGAATAAGACAATGACACAAGAAAGTGTGTTGTGGCAGAAATGGGGGACCAGTGGATCCAAGAGGCACTATTTATAGAGAAATCAACGAAAAAGCGCCAACAGACTTCCCCAGGACCATTATGATTCGTTATTCAAAGGCACATTTTCAGAGTCATCATGAGCCTAACCCAACCGACACAACCCCTAGGTCACTTGCTGACGTCATGCACGTGCTGAAAACATAGAGCGTGCCCTCCACGCGCGTAGAGGATAAATGTAGAGGGTTAGAAATTAAACCCCAAATTAAGTGTGGACCCAAGTACTGAGGTCGTCACATCAAGGCGACCAAGAATGACTAAAAGAGTATGAGCTAAAGCCTAAGGGAAATAGGCCAACAGTAAGCCAAAGTAGGTCCGACCCGGCTTGGGTCCGAACAAACTCCATTAAAGAAAATGCTTAAATGAAGTTACAGAGAGAACACATGCAGTGTTGCAGAGGTAACACATGCAACGGTCAAGTTGCAGAGGCAACACTTGCGACGGTCAAGTTGCAGAAGTACTTTGCCTCAGTGCCACCATTCAAAATATTATCGGTTCCGCTGTTATCTAAAGTTGCTGAGGGAAAAGAGAAAGCCGACACAAATAAGTTGCAGAGGTGATACTTGTAGCACCCAAGTTGTAGAGGCACTTTGTCTCAACGCCACCATTTCAAGTCTTGTCGGTACCGCCGCCATTCTAAGTATTATCGGTGCCATTGCCATTTGGAGTTACTAAGGGAGGGAGAAAACCGAAGCAACTAAGTTACAGAGGTAGTACTTGTAGCGCCCAAGTTGTGGAGGCATTTTGTCGACGTCACCATCTCTAATATTGTCAGTTCTGCCATTTGAACTTGCCACGGGAAATGACCGTCGCAGCAATTACAGCTGCCACAACTAACGTGCAGAGGGAACACCCTGCCAAGGTGACAGTAGCCTTTGAGAAAAGCTCCCCCTCTGCAAGCTGAGGCTAATGCTTGGCGCCGATAACAGGCCCCAAGGCATTACTAGCCTAAGGCTGATAGCAGGCCCCAAAGTTCATTAACTTGGCGTTGATAGCAGGTCCCAAGACTTACTAGTTAGAGCTGATAACAGGACTAGAGATACCAGTTTACCGCGGCGATCCCGCGAAGATGGGAGCAAGGTAGCCCAAATATAAGGGGCTTCATTTCCATTAACCAAGTCATGGACCTACCTTAGTCGTACATGCAGGACTAAAGAAGTCCCCTTG